GACTTGGACCATCTTCTACTGCTTTCCCAGGCCATAGCAGAGAGCTGGCTAGGAAGTGGAGCAGCTGGGTCTTGAACCGGTGCCCATATGGGATGCCAGCACTGCAGGTGGTGGCTTTACGGGCTACGCCACAGTGCCGGCCCTCACCATTAGGTCTTAAATTTAGGGTACAGGTTGTGTTGGTGATATTGTAAGATGGAAGGGACCCAGGTCCTGCATCACTGGGATGGATGAGTTGCCCCGAAAAATCAATTGTGTGTCTCAAATTCAGCCCACGTAAACCCTTTGTAGCAGTAAGTTACTGACACTTTGGGGTTAATTATTGTAGCAAAAACTATCTGCTTAATTCGTGTTCTGGTTGTTAATCTCATTAGGACCTACTACATTATGTTGTACCTAATTGCCACATAAATAATTTTTCAGATGAATGAGTTAGTTTTTTTAAACTGTCTCTGTACTATAATATTTTAGTTTTTCAAAAAAATTTTATAGGCCCTTAAATAATAACTGCTCTAGTTCTTTTAAAAAAAAAAACGATTTGTTGGTGCTGGCACTGTGGCGTAGCAGATAAAGCTGCCTTCTGTAGTGCTGATATCCCATAGGGGCACTGGTTCGAGACCCAGCTGCTCCACTTCTGATCCAGCTCTCTGTTATGGTCTGGAAAGCAGTGGAAGATGGCTCAAGTGCTTGTACCCTTGCACCTGCGTGGGAGACCCTGAGAAGCTCCTGGCTCCTGGCTTCAGATCCGCCCTGCTCCTGATGCTGTGGCCATTTGGGGAGTGACCCAGTGGATGGAAGACCTCTTTCTCTCTCTCCACCTCTCTCTGTAACTGTGACTTTCAAATAAATAAATAATAAAAACATCTTAAAAATGATTGTTTTGTTTTACTTGAAAGGCAGAATAATAGGAAGAGACAAAGAATGAGAGAAATCTTCTACCCACTGATTCATTCTTCAAATGACTGCAACAGCCAGAGTTGGACCAGGCCTACCTAAACCCAGAGATTGGAACTCCTCAGGGTCTCCTGCATGGATGGCAGGGGTCCAAATACTTGGGCCAATGTCCATTACCTTCCCAGGTACGTTAACAGGAAGCTGGATTGGAAGCAGAGCATCTGGGATTCTGAACTAGCATTCCAATATTGGATGCAGGCATTGTAAGTGCTGGCTTAAATTTCTGAGCCGCAGTGCTAGCCCAATGTTCTAGTTCTCACTTCCATTACAAGCACATATTAATAATGTAGCTTTTAAGTTAAAGAAGACAATAGTGAGAAATCTTTACATTCAGCTTCCTGGGAAAGACTTAAAATTTATTTATTTATTTATTTAATCTGAAATGGAGTGGGGGGGGAGGGTTAGAGAGAAAGATTTTAACAAGAAACTGGAATCACGAGCGAAACAGGGACTTGAACCTAGGCACTTTGATGTGGGATGCAGGTGTCTCAAGTGGTGTCCTAACCACTACCCTAAACATCTGCCACAGCATTTTAAGAATTATTTTTTTTTTTAGAATAAGATCTCAAAATTACACGTGCTCATTAAAAGAATTTTGGAGGGGCCAGTGTTGTGGTGCTGAGGGCTAAGTCACCACCTGTGAAGCCAGCACTGCAGAGCAGCATTGGTTCGAGTCCTGGCTGCTCCATTTCCTGTTCAACTTCCTGCTGATGTGCCTCAGAAGGCAACAGAGGATGGCCAAGTGCTTGGGTCCCTGCTGCCTGCATGAGAGACCTGAATGGAGTTTCAGGCTCCTGGCTTTGGCTTGGCCCAGCACTTGCTGTTGGAACCATTTGGGGAGTGAACCAGCCATTGGAAGATCTCTTTTTCCATCTCTCCCTTTCTCTCTGTCTTATTGCCTTTCAAACAAATAAAATTAATCTTAAAAAATTTTTTGGGGGCTGGCGCTGTGGCACAGCAGGTTAACGCCCTGGCCGGAAGCACTGGCATCCCATATGGGCACTGGTTCTAGTCCCGGCTGCTCCTCTTCCAATCCAGCTCTCTGTTGAGGCCTGGGAAAGCAGCAGAAGATGGCCCAAGTCCTTGGGCCCCTGCACCCATGTGGGAGACCCGGAAGAAGCTCCTGGCTCCTGGCTTCGGATGGGCGTAGCTCCGGCCATTGTGGTCAACTGGGGAGTGAATCATTGGATGGAAAACCACTCTCTCTCTCTCTCTCTCTCTCTCTCTCCTCTCTCTGTGTAACTCTGACTTTCGAATAAATAAATAAATCTTTAAAAATAAAATTTGGAAAAATTTTAAGAAAAATAAGGCCGTATTTTTTCTCATTGTGCTACCACGCTAACACAGCCATCATTTACATTTTTATTTTGCTGTTGCCCAGTTGTTACATTGTTATGATCACATTCTAGATATTCCCAGCATGTTGTCAATATTATTATATAGTCTTCATAAACCCAATTTTAAATGGCTATATCATCACCCATTAGGGAATGAATCACTTAATCTCTTTTGTCTTTTGGACATTTGATTAAATGTTTGTTTATTTTCATCTACTTTAAAGGGGGGGAGGGGAGAGAGAGAGAGAGAGAGAGAGAGATATCTTCCATCTTTTGGTTCACTGGTCAAATGCCTGCAACAGCCAGAGCTGGGTAAGGCCAAAGCCAGGAGTCCAGACTCCAGCTGAGTCTCCCACGTGGATGTGAGGGGTCCAAGCACTTGAGTCTTTTCTGCTGCCTCCCAGGATGCGTTAGCAAGAAGCTGATTGGTAGTGGAGCAACTTCAACTTGACCTGGTGCTCCAACTTGGGTTGTGGCCTTCTAAGCAGCAACTGAACTTGCTGCTCCGCACTCTGGTGGGTCTGTATTTTGAGCAATATTTTCTGTATTTATAATAATTTCATTAAGATGTGTCTTAGGAAAAGTTTTTTTTTTTAAGATTTATTTATTTATTTGAGTCAGAGTTATAGAGAGAGGGAGAGACAGAGGGAGAGAGAGATCTTCCATTCACTGGTTCACTCCCCAAATTGTTGCAAAAGCCAGAGCTGGGCTGATCTGAAGCCAGGAGCCAGGATCCACCTCTGGGTTTCCCATATGGGTGCAGTGGCCCAAGCAGTTGGGCCATCCTCCACTGCCTTCCCAGGCCACTAGCAGGTTGGTGGATTGGGAGTGGAGTAGCCGAGACTTGGAGTGGTGCCCATATGGGATGCTGGCACTGTAGGCCGAGGCTTAACCTACTCTGCCACAGTGTTGGCCACGAAAAAGGTTTTTAAATACTCCAAATTACAAGGCTGAAATCAACTGAGTTCAGGTTATACATTTGTGTTAGTTTAAAAGCATGCTTTCCTAGGCCGGTGCCGCGGCTCACTTGGCTAATCCTCCGCCTGCGGCGCTGGCACCCCGGGTTTTAGTCCTGGTTGGGCGCTGGGTTCTGTCCCGGTTGTTCCTCTTCCAGGCCAGCTCTCTGCTGTGGCCCGGGAGTGCAGTGGAGGATGGCCCAAGTGTTTGGGCCCTGCACCCGCATGGGAGACCAGGAGGAAGCATCTGGCTCCTGGTTTCGGATCGGCGCAATGCAACGGCCATAGAGGCCATTTGGGGGGTGAACCAATGGAAGGAAGACCTTTCTTTCTGTCTCTCTCTCTCACTGTCTAACTCTGCCTGTCAAAAAAAAAAAAAAAGAAAAAAAGAAAAAAAAAAAAGAATGCTTTCCAATCCAGTGTTAGATCCTGAATTATGTCTATAAGTTTAATTCCTTCATTTCTATGAGTCTCCAAGCCACACACACTTACTGTATTGCATGGATTTCTAAGATACTCAGGCCAGGTTTGAGTATTTAGTGTAGTAGTTATGACACTGCTTGGGATACATACATCCTATACTGAAGTGCCTTAGTTCAAGTCCTGGCTCCGCCCCCATTCCAGCTTCCTGTAATGTACCCTGGGAGGCAGCAGGTGATCATTCAAGTGACTGCATCCCTGCCACCCACATGGGAGAACTATGGTTGGGTTCTTGGTTCCTAGGCTTTTGCCTGGTCCAGCACCAATTGTAGTGGACATTTGGAAAGTGAACCAGCAAGTGGAGATCTCTGTCAATCTGTCTATGTCTTTCTTTCAAGTAAAATAAATAAAGAAAGGTATTTAGGCCAAATAGAAAGATATTTTTTGAAGCACAGTATTTTCCGTAACAGTGTAATTGCTCAAACATCATACATGCGTACACGTGTGTATATACACACACATCCTTGATCATGCATGCACACACAGTTACACACATGCACACAATCACATCCCTGAGAATTATGAGACATTCACATGCATCTTGCTAGAAAACAGATCTAGAGGAAAGGTTTCTCTTGATTCTGTGGTTTGAATGAAACAGGATTAGCCAAATGTAGTTGCAGTAAGAAGTAAGCCGTCTCTACTCAGCTCGTCTCTCTTTTTGAGCCACTTGCTGCCCATTCCTTTTGCACTAAATCAGCAGCAGAACAGAAATGAATGTGTGGTGGTTGTGGTGGGATTGAAGTGTCCTCGGTGCTGACGTGAGAGCCCTGATGTTGAAAACTCACCTGTTCACTAATGGTATGACTGCAGATTATTAACTTATTTTTACTGAATTGCGTCTCTCTCATTTGTAAAGTAACATCAAGGTAACATTGGCTGCCTCACACTATGATGGTGGGGATTCGATATGATAATGGATAAAAACGTTTTTAGCTATAAACCCCTGTCCAAAGTATCATGTTTACTCTTTCCCCCTTACTACTTCTACCTCCTTCAAAACCAGGATCGATCCTGGTTAGGTCCATCCATAATGTGATTTGGCTCTTCTGGTCCCAGGAGCTTCAGAAGCTGTGGGTTATGGTGCAGATGTGACCAAGTCCAAGAGTCACACCACACACAACCGTTCCTGAAAGCAGCACAGAAATGGCATCAAGAATCCCCGATCACAAAGACAGGCACCTTTTTTTTTTTTTTTTTTGACAGGCAGAGTTAGACAGTGAGAGAGAGAGAGACAGACAAAGGTCTTCCTTCCATTGGTTCACCCCCCAAATGGCTGCTATGGCCGGCGTGTTGCACCGATCCGAAACCAGGAGCCAGGTGCTTCCTTCTGGTCTCCCATGCGGGTACAGGGCCCAAGCACTTGGGCCAACCTTCACTGCCTTCCCCAGGCCACAGCAGAGAGCTGGCCTGGAAGAGGAGCAACCGGGACAGAATCTGATGCCCCAACTGGGACTAGAACCCGGGATGCCAGCGCCACAGGTGGAGGATTAGCCTAGTGAGCCACGGCACTGGCACAAAGATAGAAATCTTTCAAGGGGGTAGACTCCAAGTTCCTGAGGAGCATGGGTTTTGCTCCTCAACAAGAAAGGCCTAAAGAAGATGCAGGCCAGCAATGGCAAGGCTACGAGTGCTTGTGTGAAGCCATTGAGACCCTCGTCAAGCCCAAGGAAGTAAAGCCCATGATCCCAAATGGTGATCACCAGCAAGCTTGATTGGCTTGTCTACATCGCCCACACGAAGCTTGGGAAGTGTGCTTATGCCCGCATTGCTAAGGGTCTTAGAGGGTCTCAGACAAAGACCAAGGCCAAGGCTAAGACACGATCTTCAAATCAAAGGCAAGGTCAAGGTTCAAACCATGCCTAAAGCTCAGGCCCAAACCAAGCCCAAGCCTCAGGCCTAAACCAAGCCCTGGGCCAAGGCCAGGCCCAGGCTATTTCTGCATCTGCAGCCCCATTCTGATTCAGGCTCCTCCCAAAGGTGCCCAGCACCCCTCCCCCGAGAAAGCTTTGTAGTAGCAGACTTTGTCTGCCAATGCAAGGACAGGACTGGTGTGACCCCTGGGTTTTTGTCTTCATGGGGCTAATGTCCTTCTGTGTTATTTGTACAAACAAACCTGAGGCAGTGTAAACAAACATGTGATTTGGGAGATGCTTTGTCTTCCTCATTCCAATCAATAGCCTTGCAGGGATCAGCAGGGAAAGACGTTGACTTGGAGCTTTCTCTGTAGGGCGTTCTTTACCTCCTTGTTGCGGAGGCTGTAGATGAAGGGGTTGAGCATGGGAATTATGATGGTGTAGAAGATGGACACTACTTGGCCATTGCTGTCATGAATGGATCCATGGGGCTGGACATAGGTGAAAACCACAGTGCCATAGAAAATGGCAATGGCCAGGAAGTGGGAGGCACATGTGGAGAGAGCCCTCTCCCGCCCAGCTGCTGAGTGCATCTTCCCAATGGCCACCAACACCAAGCTGTAGGACATAAGGATGACTGTGGCAGGCAGAAGGGTAACCAGAGCAGAGAAGATATAGAGGACCACCTCTGCTGTGGCTGTGTTGGCACAGGCCAGGTGGAGAAGGGGTGGGATGTCACAGAAGTAGTGTGCCACCTGGTTGGGCCCACAGAAAGGCAGGGCAAAGACATTTCCAGTCTGGATAGCAGAGTTGGCTCCTCCAAATGCATAGGAAGCAGCCACCAGCTGGAGACAGGTCCTCTTGGTCATGGTAGAACCATAATGGAGGGGGTGGCAGATGGCCATGAAGCGGTCATAGGCCATGGAGGCCAGCAGGAAGCTTTCAGCTGTCACATGCAGAACAAAGAAAGTCAGCTGGACCACACAGCCCTCAAATGAGATGGACTTGTCGGAGGCCAGAAAGTTGACCAAGAGCTTGGGTGTAACTACAGAAGAGTAGCAAATATCAAGAAAAGAGAGAACGCTGAGGAAGAAATACATGGGGCTGTGGAGACGGGAGTCTGTGAAGATGAGCGACATCATCCCCAGGTTGCCCACCACTGTCATGGCATAGATGAGCAGGAACGTTCCGAAGAGAAGCTCCTGGATGTCTGGGTAATTGGAGAATCCCAGCAAGATGAACTTTGTGACAGGGGTGTGGTTGCCACTGGCAAGGGCTTGTTCTCCTGGAGTCATCTGTAGAGGTGACAATTGATAACCACTCGATCAATGTATTACTTAAACATGTCCACTATTGTTCACGGTGCAATGAGAGAGAACAGCAGGCAAGGACAAGCTCCCTCCACAAGGAGCTAATGGAAGCAGCATCCCACAGTGGGAGGAGCATGGGCTGCAAAGCCAGGAGAATGAGGCACTTACTGGTTGTATGTCTCTGGATAAACTATATCTGAACCTTGACTTCCTCATATGTAAAATGAAGAAAATAGTCTACTTCTCAGGGTTGTTGTGTGGCCTAAATGAGAACATGAATGTAAAATATCCAAATATCTGGAACACAGTAGGTGATGGATAAAGGGGGCCTCTTCCTTGACTGCTGTGCCTGTATCTCTATGAGATGGTTATAATTCTACTTGACACTTATTTCACTCAATATTTTTAAAAGTAGAGACATAATTCACATGTCATCACAATTCATCATTTTAGGTTGTACAGTTCAGTGATAGTCTATTCTCAAGGTTGTGTAACAATCCATCCTGTTTCATTCCAGGACATGTCCATCACCCAAAAAAGAAAACTCCGTATCTGGTAGCAGATGCTCTTCATTATCCTCCTCCCCCAGCCTCTGGAAACCATTAATCTATTTGCTGTCTCAACGGAGTTGCCAATTCTGGGCATTTCATATGAATAGATTCACACAGTATATGGCTTTTTGCATCTGATTTCTTTCACTAACCTCAATGTTTTCAAGGCTCATCCATGTTGCAACATGTGTTAGAATTCATCCTGTCTTGTGTTTCAACATCCTCAGGACATCACCTCCTCTGTATCATAACCACCTAGTCCTCTGCAAAGCTATTGAGTGTGACATTTCACGGGAGACCATCAGCTCGGAAGTGGTATTTAGTGCTTTCTTGATTGTCCTTCACCATGTGAATCTGTGGGAGGACTGGACAGGCCCATGATCCTTTCCTTCCTCCTCATTCTTTCCACGCTTTTGCCCCCTCTGCCCCTTCTGAAACTTCCTCTGAAAATCCAAGCTGTATTCTGAAAATCAGTCCTAATCCCTTCATCAATGTTAAATAGGTTTAGGCTGAGGACAAGGAGGATATGTCATGTCTCTGTGCAGAAGAACATAGAATAAAGAAAACACAGAATGGCCTCATCTTCATTCCTACCTACTGTAACAGGTACAGAATATGACCGAAAGAGCACTGAACTGGCTGGATGTAGACCTACTGTTTTGTTCCATTTGTGCTGCTATTTTGCTCTGTTACCTTGGGTGATTCTCCTTTTGGTGCAGTGTGTCCCAGGGAGCACAGAAAGAATCCATACGAACTTGTTTAGAAGAGAGAATAATCTTGGGGCTGGCATTGTAGCATAGTGAGTTAAGCTGCCACCTGCAATGCTGGCATCTCACATGGGTGCTAGTTCATGTCCCAGCTGCTCCACTTCTGATCCAGCTACCTGCTAATATGCCTGGGAAAGTAGTGGAGGATGGCCCAAATGCTTGGGCTCCTGCACTCTTGTGGGAGACCTGCATAAAGCTCCTGGCTCCTGGCTTTGGCCTGACCCAGCCACAGCTGTTGCAGGCATTTGGGGAATGAGCCAGTAGTTGGAAGATCTCTCTCTGTCTCTTTCTCTGTCTCTCCCTGTCCCCTACCCATTCCTCCCATCCAGCTCTGTGGCTGTGCCTTCCAAATAAATAAAATAATAAATCTTAAGGAAAAAAGAATAGAGGATAATGTAAATGTGATTATAACAGACAATTTTAGGAGGCTTTCTCCAGTTCACAAGGATCAATGTAAGTACCTTGCCCACTTATAGCTGTGATTTCTGACAAATACATTTTGCATTGCAACAGTACAAAATATTTGAGAAACTCTGTTAACATAAATGAATAGATGCAGATATAAGTAGTTTTTATGATTATACCATTCAATTCCTTGAACAACTTCTTAGTTATGCCAAAAATCATATGGTGGTGTGTCATCAAAAATTATTTTTAATGCTTTAACATCTGTTCATTTGAAAAGATCCTCCCTCCACTTTGTATAAAGATTTTCATCTGAGTTAAAAAGGATTTTATAGGTAGTTATTAAGGCCATTTATTTTTTCAACACTTATTTATCAAATTATATCTTTGTGTGGTATCCTGGAAGTTTCTCTATGCTGGTGTAATGCCTTCCAGTAAGACTCAGGTTGGGCTAGAAGCATGCATTCATCTTCTTAAAAAATTGTACAGATTTATGGTTGCAATGTGGTAATTCAATACATGTATGCAATGTATAATAATCAAATCAAGATAATTAGCATTTCTATCTCCTTAAACATTTATCATTCTCTGTATTGGGAACCATTGAACTACTCTCTTCTACTTCTTTATAAAAATATAATAAATTGTTGTAAACTGTAGTCATGTTACTATGCTGTAGAACACTTATTCCCTTTACATAACTGTATTTGTGTGCCTATTATCTGTTACCTCCCTCTATCCTCCTCCCTAAAGCATGCATTTCTTTTCAAAAGTTGAAGAAGGGCAAGAAAAAGGAAGATAAGAAAGGGGTTCAGCATTTTCATCAAAGACATGTTCTCCAGGACGTAAGTTTTAGGAAAGTGTAGATATGGACACGGAGGTTGTGGGACTTGATTACTTTGCTTATGAACCCATTGAAGCATCTTTACTTGCCTGCGAGGGTACGCAACCCATTTGAAAACTGTGGTCTTAGAAAAAATAGTCAGCTCCTGAGACTTCCAGGACCCTTGCGTCTCCTCCTTCCCAGAGCTGGGATTGTGACTATGTGATGCAGGAGATACTCTAGAATATCCTTCCTGGGCCAGCCTTTTATTCATTGTGATGATCAGAATATGCAGCTCTGAACGTCAGGGTCCTGGGGTTGGGACAGAATCTCATCACTAGATCACCTCTTGTGGTTTAAGCCAGCAAAGTCAGCCTCTGGCCATGGACTCCAATTTCTCCCCCCAGTGGTATCATTTATGTTTACTCTTTCTGTTTAACTTTCTGAGGGGTTTGGTTCTGTCCATGAGTCTCTGATCTACAATGAATATTTTACTTTCATTTTTCTCTAATAGAATACAACCTGATCTCCACACACACACATACACACATACCCAAAGTTGTACTCAACATTGTTTTTAGGCTGAGCTCCTGGAACCTACTCTTCAGCAAATGAAGTTTCTTGTCCTCACTCATCCCCTTTCTACCATCTCCCCATAGGTCCAGGGCTCTGTACTATGCTAATCCTCTCCTGCTGTCACCCTGGCTCCAGGGTTTCTTTTTGATTCCTTCAGAGATGCATCTATTAACAATCCTCAATTACAGAGACTTTGACCAATAGCCTTACAGGGACTATTGCAAAAGTCCTCTAAGTTTCCTCCTTTAATTCTTCAAAGATCTCCCTTAGCCCTTTTAGTCTGACTTCTCTTAAACCACTGAATTCTTGTTTTGTGTGCTGTTGAAATCTCGCAGTTGGTTTTCACTCACCCAGATGTATTTAGAATTGTTTAACAGGACTTTGTCAATGTTTCCACCTTTCTTTTCCCCATTGGGTTGTTTAGCTTCCCTATCACATTATAACTTCTGAGAGCAGAGGATATTTTAACTTTTATATCAAGCATACAACACATCTGAACAACTGTCACTGTTCAAAAACATTTGCTCAAAGATATTTGAACGATGGCAGTTGTTCAAAAGTATTTAAATAATTGCAGTTGTTCAAAAGTATTTAAACAATTATAGGTATTCAAAGTATTTCAGCAACTATTATTTAAGATGGCGTAAGATGTGGCTGTGGCCAGTTAAGATCTTAAAATTTTGTTGGGAGACCAACTTGCTTCCATTAGGGTGATTGAGTCTGGGAGTGATCTGGGCAAGGCTTCAGCATGAGGGGACACAGGGCTGGAGTTTGCAGAATGAGCAATTCTGGTTTGGTGGATATGGGGAAGTACAATGGTCTGTAAGCAGGCCCTAGTCACCCTCCTTAAACATTTCCAGGTGGCCTGGAAAGCCTCAGGAAGCTTGGTTGTGTTCCTCACAACTGAGCCTCAGTTTCTCCAGTTAGAAAGATAATGTGTGTTCAAGTACTTATCACACCTTCAGAAGCACGGTGGGCACTTGATATGCATTAGCTTCCATCCCACAAGTCAGATTATGAAATCATAGTGCAGAGGGAGCTGGAAGAAACTGCTAAGGACCCTTGCATGCTATCGGATCTCAGGCCCGCAGAGTGGCGGATGGCGTGGCTGTAGGTACTGGGGGAAGGGAAGCAGAAAAGAACAGGCCACCTCAGCTTTCTGAATCAGCTCTTGTGGCACCCGGCAGAATTTCCAACAGACAAATACTAACCTTAGCAGACGGCACTCCCAGGCTGCTCCACCTCCTACGGGGACTCAGCAGCCTCTCAGCCTGGCCACACTGGGGTGGTCGTGGGACTCACTCTCAGTCCAGTCTGTGTCTTTCATGTTCTCTCCCCTAGAGCTGTTTCTGGGATGACCACACATTCAGACCCATCACAAGATACATATCTCAGGCAAATGGAATGTGGCCCCAAGGACTGAAGCGATGGGTGCATTCCGGTCCTGCCCAGGGGTTATAAAGCCAGTTCCATCTTCTCATGATCTCTGGTGGCTTTGGAGGCGTAGAGCTCTGGGGAGGTTCTTGAAGCACACCCTTCTCTGTATCTTCTCCTGGGGTCCCGGAAGGTTCAGACCTCAGGGAAGAAGAGATGTTGAAGTTAGAATCTCCATGAGGATCTGGAGCTTGTGGTTCTGTTCTTGCCAGGAGAAAGGTTTGCAGGAACAAAGAGGAGACTTCCCACCTCCTCTTTGTATTATGAGTTCTGCATGAGAAGAAGTCATCTTGCTCCTTTGGGGAGCAGTTTACCCAGTTATTCAACTAAATGACCCATGACCCAGGGGGCTTTCTCTGATGGACACTGAAAGTTTGTTCTGGACCATTACGTTGACAAAAAACAAACAAAAAACTGGAGACACCAAGTTTAGAACCAGTGGGGAGCTGAGTGTGGTGTAGACCTAGGGTAAGGGCTAAGCCCTTCTCATCATAATCTTTCCTCAACATTTTTGTGGTCAAAGGCTGTGTTCCAGTCATGGTAGAGCATTGAGGGAAGTTGGGGGAACACCAGGGCAGGGCTTCTGGGGCCTGACTCTCCAGGAAGCTCTCTTGGCTTTGGCCGCTAGGGAATCATCTGAAGCGGCACTGGGGGCCTTGTTAACAGAATTGGCAGTTTATTTATATTAGCAATTAAAAATGATATTTTCAGAAATGAATCTAATGTCTACAGGAAATGCCAATGGGCATAAAAAAGAGACAGGGGATTTGTTACTGGGAGTGAAGACGCACGCTGTGCATCCCCTGTTGTCACTCCCTCCTCCCTTGCTCCTTCGCTGCGCTTTGCTGGTGGGGGGCAGGCTCTTCCCTATCATTTGTCAGCTGACATTGCTCTCTTGAGTCTGTATCATGCTGGGCTCAGCTGAGGCTCCTGTAGAAAGAGTGGTTATGGTTCTGTGAATCATGGATTGTCAGAGTGCAAGGGAATTACATTGCATCTCTTCTAATGAATGGGCCTTCAGCCAAGGCAGTGACTCTGAGTCAGAACTGGACTGCCTGATGGGAAGACCAAGAACACGCTTAGGGCACCAGCAAAGTAGGAGCATCAACATTACCCATAAATAAATAAATAAATAAATAAAAGGATGCATTTGTATGTTTAAAGAATGGCCCTAGGGAATGATAAGACTTGAGCTTTGCTTTAGAACAACCTAGCTAGGGGCAGGTGTTTAGTGCAGTATTAAGATATTGCTTGGGATGCCCAACTCCCACATCAAGGTCCTGGGTTTGAGTCCTGACTTCCTGGATTCCAGCTTTCTGCTAGCATAACTCTCAGGGAGGCAGCAAGTAATGGGTTTCTAACACCTATGTGGGAGACCTAGATTGAGTTTTCAGTGGATTTGGCTGAGCCTGTGCCAGTGTTGTGAGTAAGCCAGCAGATGGGAGGTCTTTCCCTGTCTGTCTGTCTGTCTTACTACCTTTCAAAAAAATATGTCTGGGAGGAGGTATGAGCTAGAACAAGAAGTGGCTATAAGTTGATAATTATTGAGTTCAGGTGGTAGGATATGAAAATGCATTTATCACACTGCTTTTGTGTATATTTGAACTTTTTAATAATAATTTTAAAAAGCATGCAGCATTGCAGAACAAAAACTCTGCTGCAATTCCTTATATTTAAATTTTTCCATTTGGTTTTAGGTCAAAGAAAATTCCTAAGTGGAATGGTATGCACCATAATATTACAGGGTTTAACTCACAGGAAGTAAAACTGATGTTCAAAGAGAAGTGGCTTGCCTGGAGTCATGCAGATAATTAGTTATATACTCAATACTTTAACTCATGTCTCTGATATCCCAGTCTACAAATCTTTACAAAATCCCTACATGTTCTCAGGTGGTGAATGGCCAATAATTTGGGATAAATAAATACATGGAAGTTTCTGTGTTGCCCTAACAAGAGGCTTCCATACTTTATTGTTTCACTTTTCAGGAAAAAATATTAAAGAAAATCAAAACCATAATATAATAAGTGCCAACAATTTTGACTAATGAATATACACAATTTTGTCATATATGTTTCATGTATATGCTTTTAATCAGAGAAACAACACATAATAGGTCACTGAAATCTTCATGTATTCTACCCCAGTCCTGTACCTCTCCTTGTTCTGAGACAACCATGGTGATAAATTTGTCTTTTTTCCTCCCATCTTTGAAAACATAATTTAAAAAATGAAACTTTTACTCTTACACAAATATAAAAGAAATATGTATCAATGTGTTTATGCAATTTATCAGTGAGTCAAAAAAAAAATAAGACATCAAGACTGAATCAGAGCATTTGAGGGGGTGGATGTTTGGAGCAGTGACTGTCAGACGCTGTGCGGGATGCCTGCATCCTGTATTGGAGTTCCTGGGTTTGAATTCCAGTTGATCTTCCTGCTAACGCACAACCTGGGAAGCAGCAGGTGATGGCTCAAGTACTTGAGTCCTTGCCATCCATGTGGGAGGCCTGGATTGAGTTCCAGGCTCCTGGCTTTTGCCTGGCCTACATGCAGCTATTGTGGGCATTTGGGGAATGAATCAGCAGATGGCATATCTTTCTGTCTTGTTGCCTTTCATATGAATAAACAAATAAAAATTAAAAAAAGCGCAAGTTTAAAAAAAACATTTGAGGTGATGGATATTTGTAGGAAATTTAGAGTAAGTTTGCTGGATTGGTTGCCCAAGCAGTTCTAATCCCATATGGCAACATGGGGCCATGTTTTCTACCAGAAAGAAATTAATTGCATCACTACTGGATGAAAACCTGCAAGTTATCAAAACCTACTGAATTAACTGGAATTGTTTGTTACTTGGATTTATTTATGTTTGCCCAGCTATGAGTAACAGAAACCTCAAGCAGAGAGTTTTAAACTATTTAGATATTTATCCTTTTTATAAAAAGTAGACTCTGTTATACTTTAATAAAAAACTAATTAATCAATTAACTTATATTTAAAAGACAAAGGGACACACACACACACACACACACATCTACCATCTGCTTGTTTACTTTCCAAATGTCTGTAATAGCTAGAGTTGGGTGAAGTCAAAGCCAAGAGCCAGGAACTCCATCTGGGTCTCCCATATGGGTGATGGGACCCAACTACTTGATCCATCACCTGTTGCTTACCAGGGTGTCATTAGCAGGAAGTTGGAATCAGAAACCGAGTTGGGACTCAAATCCAGGCATTCTGATATGGGACGCAGGCATCTCAAGTGGAGACTTGTCTGCTCTTCCAAATGCCTACTTTTGATGAGTTCATTTCAATATAATTATTACTTTGAGAATTATATAGTGAAAATTTCTAGGAACATTGATGTGTTTTGCAACTAAAAGTGTGCCATGGATGTGTTTGGGGATACCTTGCATATCCATAGACCCTGTCCTTGGAAACTGTTCTTTCATTTCACTTTGAGGGGTGGAGTAGGCTCCATGACCTCCTCCCTGGGCACAGCAAACTGGATCAGCAATGGGTGTTTCCATTCTGGTCTTTCTTGGGAATCTGGGGAACGATCTGGTTGTGGGAGCTAAACTCAGAAGTCCATTTGAATCAGACTGGGAACTGGCACCACAGCCACCAGAACCATGTGTAAGCTGAATTAATGTGGGAGCAGAAGCCATGGCTAGGCAGAGGAGAACACATTTGCAGAGAAGATATAGAGAAAGGCACACAAAAATAAGCAGAGATAAGAGGCAATTTATGCCCAGTAAGAGAGACAATTGTGAAGGCACCATCACTGACAACTTCCCAGATACCAACCAGACACTGGTTTCCTGAAGCCTGTTGAGTTTAGAACCTGCAAGATTGTGCTGTCTTTGCATTATACTTCCCCTTTGCCTGAAATTAACTAGGATACTTTTCTGTTTCTTACATCCAAACAATCCTTGGTTGGAACAAAGCACAGCCCAAAACGTGGCAGTATTAAAGACATATTAAACACACCTGACATCATTTAGAAGGGTGGTTTTTTGCCTTTCATCACAACATAGAGCTCCATTTCTATGAGCTCCGTGTATTGCAATATTGCCACTAGAGGCTGGCACTGTGGTGTAACGGGTTAAACTGCCACCTGCAATGCCGGCATTCCATTTGGGCACTACTTGTACCTGGGAAAACAGTGGAAGATGGCCCAAGTGCTTGGACCCCTTTACCCACATGGGAGACCCGGATGAAGCCCCTGTCTCCTATCTTTGGTCTGGCCTAGTCCTGGCCATTGTGGCCATCTGGGGAGTGAACCAGTGGATGGGAAGTCTCACATATAGTTTTGTGACTTTGGAGGTTTAACAAAGACTTACAGTTCTGCTGAAATATGAATTCAAATCACTTGTACTGCCCCTGGTGTTTGGAAGGAGCCACTCTTCTACTGAGTGAATTTATTCAAGCCTTTGGCATTTGCATCTCAGTGTGCCTTTGTTGATTATGCATTTTATAGGGAAATTTGTGCTGCATAGCCTAGTATAGTTTTTTTCCAAAAGTTAGTAATGACTTTTGCCAAATGTACACACTATTATAATATCTACTTAATGTTAAAAAAACCAACTCACTTAAAATTCTATTCCCACACTAAGGAAACAGTATCTAAATCTATGAGTTTAATGTGACCATTGCATTTTGAATGAATGTAAAAAATATATAACTATTAAGATAAAATTTTAAACTTATGTTTCACCTAAAGTCCTTTTATTCATACTAATATTGTCTTGTAAAATCACTTAAACCACTTACAAACCTTGGTTCTGATATTTGTGGGTTGTATAACCTTGAGTCAATTATAAAATATTGATGATTCTTGGGATTCTTATCTGTAAAACGGGGTTGAAAATCCTTACCTCAGAAGGAATGTTGAGAGCTAAATGAGATATCGCACATACAGTATACAGATTAGCACAGTGCTTAGTACCTAGTAAGTGTCCAGTGAGTGATAGTTTATATGGAATATGGGTTGCAATTTAGATTTGCAAAAATTTCTGAATTTAGATTTGTTTCTGGACACAAAGACAAAAACAGTAACCTCTTTGATTCTGTCTAGAAGAATGCATTTTCCTTAGGTTGCTAAAATCACACATCTCCAAAAAGGTGAAAATAGCCCACCTGAGCAGCCTGCTGAGGACTGATAAATGGTTGTAGAGATGTTCATTGAAAAGAAGAAGAAAAGGTCAGTCTGAGACAGAACTGGAGTGAGAGATTCCATAGACTCAAAAGTGGGCAACTCAAAAGAGCAAGTGCTGTCCAGCTATAGGGTGCTGAAATGATGCAGAACCACAGACCCCAAGTTACAAGTAATTTTGTCAACACACGTCTCTGCTTTTTCTTTTAAATAGTTTATTTATTTGAAAATCAGAGAGATAGATAGATCAATAGATAGAGAGATATCTTCCACCTTCTGGTGGCCTCAATGATCCTGGCTGAGCCAGGCTGAAGCCAGGAGCCAGGAACTCCATCCAGGTCTCCTATGTGGGTGGCATGGACCTGAGTGCTGCTTTCCCAGGCACATTAGCAGGGAGCTAGATTGGAAGTGAAACAGCCAGGACTGGACCAGTGCAGCTGGGACTCAAATGGGTACTTTGAGATAGGATGCCAGTATTACAGGTGGCAGCTTAACCTGCTGTGCCATAATATTGGCTCCACATCTCTGTTTTATAAAGGTTGTATCTCAGCTATGCCTCCTCATTTTTTAAACTTTTATTTAATAAATATAAATTTCCAAAGTACAACTTTTGGATTA